ATTTAACATAAATTATTTTAAAGGGAATCCATTCTATTGTAAGTCCTGTAATCTCATATAAGAGTTCATTATACCAATAAAGAATGTTTCGAATTTTACAATTGCTTATTAAAAATTAATCGAATTTTACAATTAATAAGTAGTCTGTACATGCTTTAATAATTAAATAGTAAGTATGTTTTTTTATACATCAAAACAAATGCTTTCGTTATTAAAAAAACGCGTTTTTAAAAAATTTATTTCAAAGCAATAGTTCTGTTCATCAGATTTTGTATAAACATTCATAAATTTTTCTATTAAAACTTTTTTTTATGTTCTATATTTAGCTACGTTGCAATCCGGGAATTATGTCCCCATAAACTTAGTCAGGTAATAGCTTTCATTTTTACTCATTTCGCTCTAACTTTCTTAAATTTTAGTTAAAAGCATTTTTTTTATTATTCTTAATGATTATTGAAATTTTTAATAGAATAAATATTTCGAATAATTTCTAACAAATATTGGAATAAATATTTTTTTATAATTTTTGACAATTATTAGAATAATAATTGTCAATTGTTTTTTAATTATTCGAATAATAATAGATAGTTATTAGAATTTAGAATTATTGTAAGAAAAAATTTTTTAAATGTTTCGAAAACAAATCTTTACTATTTTTAATAATGTAGTTTTAAGCAAAAAAATCCAAACTTTGAACGTAATTAGGTGAATTGAGATAAATATAAAAATTTTAATTTAATTTCCCAAAAATGATTCAATTGATTTCGCTCAAACTGTGAATTTCGTCATCTAATTAATAGAAAAAATTAAATAAAAAATTACATAGTTAAATTAGCTAGTAGTTGCAACGAAAAATACCACAAATTTTTCTGGGAACCCTACTTGAATCTAGACTCATTACCACTCTAATTAAAATCCATCTGGTTTAACTATCTGAAGTTATGCTAAGTTCAAAGAAGAAAAAAAGAACAACGTGTTTTTGACTCATTATCTTTGGACTCATTATATTAAAATAATTAAACGCCATTTGTGAAAATGTTTTAAGATCAACAGCTTCATGCATTTTAAGATAGTAGCACCAACGTCTGCAATCAAAATTGTACTTTTCACAGAAATTTAAATCTGTTGCTGCTGCCATCTACTGGGAAATTATGAAATTGATATCGAAACATAATTAACATGAAGTATTTTTAATACATTCATAATTTAAAATTATTAATGCGACAAAATATTTTATTTCGTTCCTCGAACATAATTCTTCGAATAAATTCTGATGATTATCTTTACATCTAGCTGGTAACTCTAAATACACAATGTCAACTTATTCTTTCTAAATTTCTCTATATTAATTGTGGTCATTTGACATTGTGGCGAGTGCTGTTCCAGTCAGAACTGCACTTAAGTGCGTGATGCATCTGCATTCCACAGCAATGCTGAACTGAAGTGAAGAGAGCAGTTGATCGATTGATTAAGCGTGTATGTTTGTTGTAGCTTCTCATCCAAATGTTAACTCCTTGTTTTTAATTTAATTACTCTTTTAAATGTGATTTAATAAAATGTGATTGTCCATATAATCTCTCATTCTTTTCTCAATGCAACCTATTCCTCAACATAAAGGCTATAATAAAATTAACACTACAAACTCTTTACAACTCTTTTGACTTAACTATTGATGCTTTATTCAATATACTAATTTTTTCATACTTATATCTTAATGTATGCTGTGAATAAAAGTATTAATATCGTCGCCTCTGAGAACCCCTAAAACTATACAAATAAACGAAATAACTAAGACACATAATATTTTAGTCTGATAAATCACGTGTTCACTTACCAGGATGAGATTTCATGTCAGTCAATGTAATTAAATTAAATTTCATATTCCTAATGACTTACTTTTTTTAAAATACGATAAAAAATTAAAATCCGAGAAATGTAATTTTTTTTAAGAAAAAATTGGCCGGGTAAGATTTCTTCCACTTTTTTTTTTCAAATTTACCAAGGATAATTTAAATGTATATAAAATTTTAAAAATATAATTTAAGTAAGAAAATTCAAAATTTTGAGGTTATTCAGAACCCTTTGAGGTTATTCATAGCCTATTATTATAATCATTTTTATTTTTTTCTTCTGACTCTCTAATTACAGGCAAAAATATGTTTTGGTATTTTTTAATTATGAAAAACCGTCTAATAGTTTCTAAAAGAATATGTCAAATTATCAGATTTTTATTTGTACTAAAGTAAAAAATAAAAAAGTAGTTTGATTTTTTTTATTTCATTCCTATTCGAAAATCTATCTGTAATTGATTTTGAAAAGTAAAGAAATGTCAATGATAAATAACTTTCTCTTAATATAAATATCTGTAAGTAAATGAAAATTTGAAAAGATTTTGTTTGGAAGTAAGCCGTGTTTGGAAGATTTTACTTTTAACTCAGAAAAATACACCGATGTTTCATGCTTTATTTCATAACCTAAATAATGTTTCAAAATGCTATATATAATAATTTTCACTTATTTTGACCTAAATGAAAGTAAAATAAAAAAAAGTATCAAAATGTTTTATAAAAATTATATTTCAAAGGGTAAATAAATGACTTTCGATTTTAGAAGTTTTTTTTTTTTCCAATGCCCACCTGGATAATGACCTAGTTCATACAGGCACCTGAAGGGCAGATTTGTGGCCACTCTTTCAGGGGCACCATATTAGGTGGACCAACGTTGCTCTCACACTAAGTACAGAGAAAGAAAGAGCATCCATGCCTTGCCCGGGATTGGAACCCAGAACCCTTCTGATGTAAGGGCAGCCCTAACCCCTACACAGATTGCTCGGCTCGATTTTTGAAGTACTTAAAATAATTTTAAATAATTTAGTAAATTAAAATACTTCCTTTGATGAGCAAATGGTGAATCAAAACTAAATATTGATCATAGTAAATAATTAATTTTAACTATTAATTTATTTTTGAGATCAAATCTAAAATGCTTACAAAAAATTGGGAAAGACTCATGATGGGTTTCAAGTTAAATTCATTTCACTATTCGTCGGTTAACTTTTTCTAACAGAATATCCTTTTAAAATTTTGTCTTTTGATGTGGAGTGAAAAAAATGTATCAAAAAATATACTAAGAAGGAATGTACCCCGATTGTCAATCAAAAATTAGGAAGCTTTTTTTTAACAAACTTAGTCTTAAGAAATAATATAAATCAAAAATCATGAAACTATATAATTTTAGTCAAAAAAATTTGTTCAGAATAACAAGAAATTGCCAAATGAGTAATAAAGGATAGCAGTTATATTAATTCCTTTGAATACATTTAAAAAACATAATAAAATGCATATTCAAATAAATTACAGATGATTTTTTGTTGCAGTTCTAATCTAGCTATTAAAATATTAACTTAATACTTTCAAAATTCTGATTTATATACGAGCTTTTTTATATAAGTCGTTGAACTGCCAACAAAATTTTGGGTTTACGACTACTGATGTTCAACTCCGCATCCTTGTGATTTTGAATCAATCCAGAAGACAAGGAAACTCCTGGATCAGTTCCTCCAGAGGTAATGATTGGTTATGGGAACATGGAGGACTTTACGACTCGACAGGTTTAACTTGCATCAGTCACCATTTACTACACAGAAGTCTTCGGCCGGCGGGGATCGGACCCACGAACTCTTGGACACGGGCCCAGTGCCATACCAACTAGGATATCTCGGCCATACAAGTGCTTTTGGAATAATCAAAATACAGAACTTATTTTAGAAATACTCAAAGTACAAATTTACAGAAAATGCAAATTTTATCTTTAACCTTTTAAAACGCAAAAATTAAGGTTTATGAATAAGGGGTAGAAGACTTAAAGCACCCCTTTACAGTTAGCACTTTTCGTGGAACGAATACATGCAATTTATTTGGGGCAACAAATGAAGTTTTTAATAATTTATAACTTGCTATTCACATCAAAATAGACAAAATAAGCTTTTTTTTCTAATCTAGAAAGTTAAGCCTGAAGAACAAATGACATTTCGGGTACCTTCGCATTTAAAGTGTTTCTTCTTTGTAAGTGTAATGCAATACGAAATTATAATTCATCTGTTAATTCATTTAAAAACAATTCACTAAACAATATATTCACTTCGAAACAGACAAAATAAGCTTTATTTATTTTCTAATTTCGAAAGTTAAGCCTAAAGGACGAATAGCAAATCGGGTACCTTCGAGTTTTAAGTGTTTCTTCTTTGTAAGTGTAATGCAATACGAAATTATAATCCATTTGTTAATTCATTTCAAAACAACTCACTAAACAATATATTCACCTCGAAACAGACAAAATAAGCTTTATTTATTCTCTAATTTCGAAAGTTAAGCCTGACGAACGAATAACATTTCGGGTACCTTCGCGTTTTATGAGTTTCTTCTTTGTAAGTGTAATGAAATACGAAATTATAATTCATTTGCTAATTCATTTTAAAACAATTCACTAAATATATTCACTTCGAAACAGACAAAATAAGCTTTATTTATTTTCTAATTTCGAAAGTTAAGCCTAAAGGACGAATAGCATTTCGGGTACCTACGAGTTTTAAATTTTTCTTCTTTGTAAGTGCAATGCGATACGAAATTATAATCCATTTGCTAATTCATTTTAAAGCAATTCACTAAACAATATATTCACTTCGAAACAGACAAAATAAGCTTTATTTATTTTCTAATTTAGAAAGTTAAGCCTGCTGAACGAACTTCGGTGTTCTACTGGGAATCACGTCTTTACGATCATTCCACTGCGGGACACATTTTCAAAGAAATATCGATTTCCAGATATTTTCATAAATTTTTAATATGATTTTATTGTTTCTTCTAAAATAAGCATTTTAAAACAACCCACAGATGGGTGTATTGTATTGCAAATAAAAAGAGAAAAGGCAGAAAATAAATTGTTCATATTGACTTAGTTGAAATATCAAACATTTATAATGTTTAAATAAACTACTGATTCTATAATTTTGTTCCTGTCACTTTTTCAATTTTTCTTCAATTATTTCTTACAGCTTTCATTTATTACTAATAGCTTCTCTCTTGATCTTGATCTTTTTCTGGAGTATCTCCATTCCTTTCTTCTTTACTTCATCCACACTTCCCGAGTGACTAAAAAAAAACATAGTTTTAATAAATAATGATAGTCTTACAATTGAAATATAAAAAGTGTTCCGTAAAAAATTACCTCTTTATAAAGACTCTGGAATTATTTATACTTCTAGAATTATTTATACTAAAAAAATCTAACTATTGGGGGTCAAAAATTAATGTTGTAATGAAGAAAAACAAAAGCACTATCAATTCCTTACTAATCAAAATGGAAGGCGGGTGAACAAAATATCCCAACCAATTTGATTGCAGGTGTTTTCAATTTTTTTTTCCTTCCGCAATCGAACAGGTTTTGGTGTTTCGCACTCCCACCTATTATAACTGTAGTTTGCTAGATTTCGATAGTGCTTTTGTCTTTTCATCTCTTAAATATTAATTTGCGACCCAAAATGTATATTTAGTTTTAATGAAGATTTTAAATATATAGTTTGTGTGCGGTAAGAAGTCCCCCGCCACAAAGTTTGAGGTCGTTTGCTACTATGGAAACAGGAAAAGCGCATTTCAGGAAGGGTAGCTTCTCTTCACTCTAGGGCTAACACAATAGACCGAAGAAAAGCCAAAACCTTTCCTCAGCTATAACCCCACACCCCCATTTGAAATAGTTACACCTCGTTACCATAGTCCCCACCATAGGCCCAGATGAATGGCTAGGGGAGTTCTTACTTTAGACAAACTATACATACGATGGGTGATTTGTATGAAACACTGCATGCTACTACAGAATAAAGGGTAACTTACGTTGCAGATTTTTTATCGAAGTTTACTTAAATAATGTTTTAAGTCTTATTTTATTTTTATTTAAAATGTATATCAAGCGGGGGAGGCATTTTAAACCGTTGTTTCGTTAACTACTCAAAATCTTAATAAATCTTGCTAAAAATTAAACCAAGTTTTCTGAAAGGCGTGGAGTTAAACTTTAATTTGTATAAATTTATTACAAACTTAGTAAAGGGTCGAGTGAGATAACATAAAATGTATATGCTATTGTAAATGACCAATATTGGTGGTTGTTAACTAACACCAGTGAATGTTGACAATCACATAGTCGTTTTGGTAAATGTCCGAAATATATACTAGGTCTAGTTAAGTGCCACTGCCCGGTTAACATTTGCCCGGTATGACCTACATCAATGCTTTTTTTAAGGTTCAGTACCACTGCCTTGCTTAAATTTGACCGGTATGCCCTTCATCAATGTATTCTTAAAGTCAAGGGCCAGTGCATAGTATACATGTTACCGGTACTCCGAACGGTGATGTTTCTCCTAATCTATCCTCAGCAGATATTAAAATATCGAATAAATGTAATAATATCATCGAATAAATTAATATCAAATCGGATATGACAAATATTTCGGACATTCACCAAATGAACATTCACTTCGGACATTATGCGATTGTTAACATTCACCAGTAAAAGGTCAACATTGTCTTTATTTCGGTCATTTCCGATAACATATACATTACACGCGGTGAACATCGTAAACTTTTCCTCTTTTACTGTTCAAAACATTGTTAAAAGTTGAACCATATCATCCAAATTCATGAGAGGCGTCAAGTTTAACCTTATTCAATTAAATATTTTGCAAACTTAGTAAACCACCGAATTCCTAACTGGATTTTAAATATATAATTGCATTTTGAATACAGATGTAATTGCATTTTAAATACATTTCTTTTGCACATTGGCATAGCTGCCAACCTAAGGAATCAAAAATTAGGAACACAATATGCCACAAAATAATACGCAAAAATTACTAGAGTATGACCAAAATTTAAATATTAAATAATAACATTAATAGGCATATATTTAAATACCGTATGTAAATTGGTAAAACAAAACTAGAAACACTATCTTTAGTGGGAAATTAATAATATTAATATTTTATAATTAGGAATACCGATATAATAATTGAGAAACAACTGTTACCTATTAATATATAATCCTTCTCAAAATTATAAAACACAGGTAAATAATAATCTACATCATAAACAAATATTTTTGATGCAAGTGTTAAAATAGTACAATAAATTTTTTAAAAAATAATAATAGTTGTTAAAGATTCATCTTAGTGAAATGATCAGCAACAGCTATTGGAATAGTATTTTCTAATAAAAAGCTACTAAAAATTACTTCAGCACAATGAACACAGGAAGGGCGGTTGTGGCGATCAGAATAAGGGATTGGTTTAAATGCAAATATACTGCAATTTTATGAAAATTCAGATTTTTTATAAAAATATCAGATTTTCAGATTTGATTTAAAAATTAGGAACAAATCAAAAAAATTCAGAACAGTTGGCAGCTATGCATTGGGTTAAAATATTTTGCACATCATAAATGGAAATATAACTAAAATACTTAATACTCTAAAATACTGGAATCTCAGCTGAAATTCTTAGCTCTAATTAGTATTTTCTGGTTTGAAAACCTATAGTGTAATCTTATCAATTTCAATTTTTAACATGGGCAAAGTAACATTCGACGGACTATAGTCAAACCAGTTACATCACACCCATATTAAAAAATTTCTTTCAGCCAGAGATTAATTGTCTAATTAAGAAAAACAATAAAAAGATTGACTTCATTTTAACAGAGTATCTCAAAACATTATTACTTATTTCTAAAATCAAGTATAAACATTTTAAAGATACAACTTAGTCTTCTTGATAGTTATTTAAAAACGTAACGTTTATTTCAGATATATTTAATGTATAGGTACTCTCTGAATTAGTTTATGAACAGGAATGAAATAAATTTGCTTACACCGGTTATATATTCTCCGCATATAATGTTTCCAGCACATGGACAAAAGTAATTATAAACATCTTGATTTTTTGCTTCACGTGTCATGCAATATTCACCTAAAAAGAACAGAAAAATAAAACAAAAACATTATATTCTGTCTGTCGACTAACCCAGTACTGTCCATTATAATTTGTATTCCTTACTGGGTTATTTCAATCCATTTAATACAATAGTAGTACTTTATTATGGCGTACTATAGCAGGGGTGGCCAACCTGCCACTCATTGAAGGATTGCACAAGCCTGCGAAATTGAACTTTTTGAAAAATACAAGAGAAGTTATTGTTGATTTATATGTTATTTGATATGCTGATTTTGAAAACGACCTTCATCTTCCCCAATCACATCAGGATTTTTTATAAAATTGATATTAATGCTTTTAGTAAAATCCTGTTTGGAAGGGAATTCTCTCAAATAATTTTGCACGTACTATCCGGTAACTGTTCTCTTCATTCATTTTGATCTATGTAAAATTTAATCTTGTGAAAAAAAATTGATTTTTGAGCTATCAACTGATTTTTTATAGGTTAAAATGAATAAAAAATACTGTTACCAGACAGCAGAAGTCACCTCTGGTCAAGAGAAAAACAATAAGTTCTTTGTGTTCAAACTTTTTACATCAGTTTCTAGAAGAAAATCACAAACATACCATTTTAATTTGTTTTTATTGAGATAACTTACGTAAAATTGACGTATAAGCAAGAATAAAAAATATTGTGTATGTGTATCTGAAAGTTTGAAACAAAAAACAAAACAAACAAAAGAGAAAAGTTTCTATTTAAGTATATACTCGTTTTCCTCTGAAACTTATTTTTGATGATCTTCTTTCACGCTTAATCTCAGGTTTATCACGAGCTATCGTCCAACAGTAGTCAGTGAACATGTTCTTGTCCCATCTTCCTTGATATTTACGCTAAATATCTCTGATATCTTGATGGAACCTTTTCCCTTGTTCTTCGCTAACTGCTCCTAAATTTTCAGGGAAAAAGTCCACATGAGAGTGAAGGAAATGCATTTTTACACTCATGGTGCAACCCAACGTTTTAAATTTGTCCAGCATTTTCATTACAATTTCCTTATAATCAGGATTCTTGTAATTACCCAGAAATTTACTGACGACATCTTTGAAAGTACCCAAGCTTCTTTTTCCGTTTCTGTCATGTTAGTCTCAAATTCTTTATCCTTCATGAGTTGGCGAATATCTGGACCAACAAATATTCCTTCTTTCAACTTAGCTTGTGATAAACCTGGAAACTTTTTGCACAGGTATTTGAAACAATTGCCATCTTTTGGAACAGCCTTGACAGACTGCTTCAATACACCTCATTTTATATGTAGCGGAAGTAACAATACTTTTTTCGGATCAACTAAACTGTTTCGAATATTGTTCTTGGTGCCTGGGGCAAGATTTTGTCTTTTCGGTCATTCTTTTTTGTCCCAATGTTGTCTTGTCACGTCTGTCCCACTCACAAATGAAACAGGGGTACTTTATAAATCCCCCTTGTTAACCAAGAAGCATGGAGATAACTTTCAAATCACCGCAAATGGTCCAACTGTGGTTGATATATTTTATTTTGTTCAGGACGAGAGCCAGGTTTAGATATTAGTCTTTGATTTTTTTCGGTTATACCCACGAACATGGCAGGAACAAAAATAACACTCATCAAAGTGGTTTTGGGGCTCTCTCCACGTCATAGGAATTCCAAATAGTAAAGCAGTCTTCTTTCCTTGATGCCATAAGCGTAGATCATTGAGACACTGCACACAAACTTTATGAGGTGCCCAAGATTTGTCCTGATCTCCGAGTTTCATGTCAAAATATACGAGATAAAGTTGTCTTACATAGTCTATAATGCTCCTCATGCGATTTTTAACAGCACTATATTCGCCGCATGTATACCAAAAGTCATCTGGGGAAATTTTCCTAATGTCTTGAGCTCAAAGCCATGTTTCACGAAACGCACAGAAAAAAAGCAAATTAAAATGACTCCCTATACGCTGAGAGGTCAGTGGACCTAGATAAGGATTCTCACGACGCTATTGGTAGAGAGAGATTGTTATAGAGAGAGGGACGGTGACAGGAAGTAGTGATAGAGGGGTACTTTTGTAGATTTGACCAAAGTAGAATGCTGTTCCATCAAAAAGGGAAGAAATTCAAAAATGAATTTTTTTTATGGTAAATGTTCATAAAAATTCCAGTAAAATTGAATTTTTCTAAAAAACGTGACGTGATGGACATTTTTCATTATTATTTTCCATTTCAGCACCAAAAAATACATTAAGTTCAGCTATCAGACCCCTTCTATTTTTTTCATCGCAGGCCTGTGTTATTTGTGGCTCTCCATAAATGTACCCGAGTTCTCGTTTCATTTTTGCGCTATTATATTTTTAGAAATTATTATCGCTCAGTATGTGCTTCAAAATGTCTTTTAAATTACTGAGAACAAATATGAAAGACAAAGTGCAACGTTGTTCAATTCAAGGTGAGTTTTCTATTTCCAATATAATTATGGCACAAAAAGCATCTGGAGAATTGGAATTAATGAAGATGCAAGAAGATCAAGCTCTACACTTAAAATATAAGTCAACGTCGATTGCTGAATTTTGGAAATTTGTACCAGAATCGAAGCATCCTGAATTAATAAAGTCTGCTTGTCGAATTATTTCAATATTCGGAACAACGTACTTATGTGAATCATGTCAATTCACTTTAAAATTCGTGAAATCCAAACGCCGATCAGTATTAACTAATCAGCATCTCAAAGAATTACCGAGAAGTGCTGTCACCAATTGTTCACTAAATTTTAAAAAATTATCAAGAGGTGTAAAATAAATATGTTTAATTTTAAATTCAATACATATATTTTGCACTTTTACTTATATGTTTTCATTAAATATAATTTATGTAAAAAAAATTTAATACCTTTTTTGCATATCTTTTAAATATGTATTTAAATGCGGCTCGCGAGAAATTTCGAATTTTGAAAACTGGCTCGACTGTGTAGGAGCTTGGCCACCCCTGTACTATAACTACACTATGGGTTATTGGCAACGTTCTGGGATATATCCCTGAGGATGATCCGAAAACATGCATCACAATTCTGATTATTTCCGGTAGGTACTTTATTTACGTCTTACTAGAGCTGCACAATGGGCTATTGGCGACGGTCTGAGAAGCATTCTTGAAGATGATCCGAAGACATGCCATCGCCATTTCGATCCTCTGCAGAGGGGATGGCTTCTTTGGTAGCCCGACAACCTGCGTGCGAAGTCGAGCACTTTAGGGGTAGAACAGTTTAACGAGGACCGATACCGCTCACCCTCTGTCTATACTCAGGCAGATCAAAGTGGTCACCCACCCGCTTACTGACCGCTGCCAGTGATGCTTGACTTCGGTGTTTTACTGAAAACCGCGTCTTCACAATCAGTATAATTTCTACCTCCCTCTGTTTTGTTGAGCCTACTTCGAATTCGTCTTATTATTCTTGCAGTACTACGAATATGTATGATTTTCAAACTAATCTTATTTTAAAAATTAGTGTATAAATGCATTTTAAGCCATTTATTCTTACTTTAAATTGTATCGTAAAAATAAATTTACTAACTCTTATATGTATCTTATTTTAGTTTAATTATAAGTTTTAGTGCTACTGAGTATTAAAAATTTTGGAATCTCTTTTACACCAAGTAGTGTAAAAGAACATTCTTGGTGTTTCATTACACCAGGAACTATTCTTGGATTTTGGTGTTAAGATGCACTAAATTTCTTTGCAGTGCTGTGTATATATATATATAGAATTCTCTCAA